ATATCATATAAAAAATTGGAGTTACTAACTAGAAATACATGAATATTGACTTTTATATTTATCTATATAGTTATCTTTATCAGTGTTCTTTATTTCTTTGTATGAATTGAGTTACTCCCTGGTATTTTTTTCTTTCAGCCTGAAGGACTCTCTGCAGCACTTTTTGTAGAGCAAGTCTACTAGAAATGAATTCTTATCTTTTGTTTAATTGGAATATCTTAATTTCTCTTTCTTTTTTGAGGAATAGCTTTGCTGGATATAGAATTCTTGCTTAACAGATTTTTTTAAGCACTTTGAATGTGTCATTGCATTAACTTCTGGCCACCATGGCTTCTGATGAGAAATTAGCTGTTAATGTTTTTGAGAATTCCTTGTACATAATGAATCACTCTGCTCTTCTCAGGATTCTCTGTGTCTTTGAACAGTTTGAGTGGAATGTTTCTAGGTATGGATTTCTTTGTGTTTACCCTACTTAGGATTTGTGGAGATTTCTTGGATGTGTATATTCATGTCTTTTATCAAATTTTAGAAGTTTTCAGTCTTTTTTTTTTTGCCCTTTTCTCTATTCTCCTTCTTGGACTCTTATTAAATGTATGTTGGTATACTTGGTGGTGTCCCACAGATCTCTTAGGCTCTGTTCATTTTTCTTCATTTTTTTTCTTCTTTTTGCTCCTATTATTGGAAAATCTCAATTGACCTATCTTCAAGTTCATAGATTTTTTTCTTCTACCTGCTCAAATCTGCTTTTGAGCCCCCTCTAGTGATTTTTTAAATTTCAGTTATTGTATTTTTCAAGTCCAGAATTTTTCTTTAGTTCCTTTAAAAATTTTATGTCTCTGTTGATATTCTCAATTTGGTGAGACATCATTCTTGTTCTTTCTATTAGTTCTTTGTACATGCTCTTGAGCATATTTAAAACAGTTGATCAAAAGTCTTTCTCCAGTAAATCCAGTGTCTGGTCTTCATCAGGGACAATTTCTCTTAATTCCTTTTTTCTGTGTGTGTGGGCCATACTTCCTTGTTTCTTTGCATACTTCATAATTTTTAATGAGTACTGGACATTTTGAATATATAATGTGGTAATTAGATTATTTTACCTCATCAGGGTTTTTTTTGTTTGTTTGGTTTTTGCTGCCTGTGGTTGGTGTTGTTTGTCTAGTGATTTTTCTGAACTAATTTTGTAAAGTGTATGTTCTTTGCCATGTGTGGCCACTGACATCTGTTTGATTAGCTTAGGGGTCAGCTAATGATTCAGCAGAGATTTCCTTAAAGGTTTGGGACCAGAAACAAACAAACAAGAAAACCTCAAAATCTTTGGCAGTGGGTCCTGCGTATATGTTGGGGCATGCCTTCAACACTCAGCTAGGCAGTTTACAACTCACCCTTAGACTTCACCTGCTGCTTGTATACAGCCTAAAGCTCAGCCAGAAATGAGAATTTAGGGCCGTCTCAGGTGTTTTTGGGCAGCTACTGTGCCTTGGGTGCACACGTGTGGGTCTTCTGGTGGGAGCATTTCAAATCCCATATTCCCCAAAGCATCTCACTTCCCAGTTTTTCCTCCTAAGCCTTTTGTTGTGTCTACTGTTTACCCCAGCTGCCATCCCTTGCCTCATTTGGCACGTGCTGATAAATTTGCCATTAAATGTTTTTGACAAATGTCCTGAACAGTTGCCTCTCTGCACTGGCAGAGATCTGAGCTTAGTAAAATAAAGGTAAGCCCTTTACACAGTCTGTCAGGGAACCAAAAGACAGGCCAGAACAAGCAGCCACAGTTCTTGGAGGACAGAAAAGTCCACTTTGCTTCCTCTAACACTAGGAACCCACACCAGTAACTCAGATTGGCATCTTCAGGACCCTTACTGCAAATTAGCTACCTTTTGCTTGACTAAGTGTTTGACTGATTGCTGGAATCCTTTGACTAGTTTGAAGAGTTCAGATTAAGTTGATTCTGACAGGTTTTGCCAGGTTATTTGCTGTTTCTCTTCAGGGACAGGCCCTTGGAGCTCCCTACTCTGCCACTTTCATTGATGTCTCATCACATTTTTTTCAATTTTGACAAACATATTATTTTCATAGGTTGTTATTGTGGTTTTTTGAGTTTTTTTTAATGAAGAATGACCAGGGACTTCCCTGATGGTCCAGTGGTTAAGACTCTGCACTTCCAATGCAGGGGGCGTAGGTTTGATCCCTGGTCAGGGAACTAAGATCCCACATGCTGTGCGGCACAGCCCCCCACCAAAAAAAAAAACCCCAAAAAGAATGACCATATATCTCTTTACAGAGGTCATCCAAGTATTATGATAATTCATGTCCAGCTTGCCAGAAAACCATATCACATTTAGAAGGAAAAGAATTCTGGCAGTTGAACCCTGTAGATCTCCTGATGTCAACAGTGTTAAAGATGGCCAGTTCACCCATAGTCCTATCAAAAATTTTTCTCTGAAAGCCAGAGAGAGAAAACATCTAATTTACTGTGTATGTGAGATGAATGTTCTAACATTCAGGTCTCTAGTAGAAATACGATGTAAAAAAGCCAACATATATCAGGATCTTTACCATTAAAACTGCAGTTGACCATATTCCATTGTAGTTATGTGGATGTTTTCCACATAGTTTATCAGCTCAGTAGGATTGTAGCAGTTGTTCTCACTGCCTTCCCAAAAGCTTTAGCCCTTGTGAAGTGGCTCAGATGAAATCTACTAACTGAATCTAAAGAATCAACAGAGAGAGCTATGATTCTGATGCAATATTTTCTGGGTTTGAATTCTGTTTTCCTCTATTTGCCAGTAGTATGAACTTGAGCAGATTACTTCTTTTTGCCTCACTTACCTCATCAGTAAAATGGGCCTGCTAACAACTATACTTATCTTATAGCTTTGTTATGAGGATAAAATAAGTTAAGATTTATTAAGTAATTAAAATTTAATACATACATAAGCTAGTTTGAGGTGCATCTTGTCTAGAGCATGTCTTTTAGATAGGAAGACCTCTGAGTTTTTCAGTTCTGTCCACTTAGCATGAAACTAATAAGTTCTTTCCACTTATTAGTGAAATAAACCTACTGGGCAGATTCTCAAGAGGAAAATAGGCAGTATTTCTGTGTAGCCTGAGAGGCCCATTTCTAAGTCAGGAGAGAAATGTCTGTATCCACAGCTGGATGCAAAACAAAAACATCAAGTTGGAGAACAGCATCGTATCGTGTGATGGTTTGGGGGACAAGGAGGATGGACCAAGATAGTGGGATATAAAGCTAAAAAGACTGGAAAAGACAGATGATGAAGGTTCTTGGGCATTACTGAAGGGTTTGAAATAGGAGAGCCATCTGGCCACATTCACCCTTACGGTATATACTGCGGCAGAAAAGTGGAGGATTGGGGTCAGCTTGCCAAGACTGGAAGGAGGGAAATGTCTTAGGTGACTGTTACGTAAGTCATAGATGTTCCATAATGAGCATGTATTAATTTTGTAACATGAGCAAATACATACACTTTTATTTTGTAAGAAATCTACTTTTGGAATTTCTTTGTGATATAGTCCCAATTTAAAAAAATCTAAAATTAAAGTCCCAATTAGGGAATGAGAATTCATTTGACACTTGACCTCTTTGCTCAACAAAATCTCCATCACAGAGTTTCAGTAAATAATCATCCTTTTCTGCTACGTGCTGCCTATTAAGTATAAGGAACACATCAATTCCATTGAGCAAATGAGAATGGAAATTATAACCATATTACCTGCGAAACTTACTCTGCTAATTTTATAGCTCCTCAGCCCTCCACAAGTCAGAAAAATATTCACACCTAAGTTGAAACTTTAAAGTAGAGTGATTGCCTGGAGCAATAAGCCCCAGAAAATTGGTAATGAAAGTATTGGTTTATAAAAGAGAGCTTGACAAATTGTAGTCTCACTTTGCCTCTTTCCACCTCTGTTTCTTTAACAGCTATTTAGTCCCAGGTACACAGACTTTTGTTATGTTTTATTTTTTTTAGTCATTTGAACTTTTTAGTACATCAGTTTTAGGAATTAATTGAACAAATACTCAGCTAAAAAACAAGATAAAATTTAATAAGCAACTTTATCCTCATTTTGCCCCACTATGAATGTTAGTTTTTGCAATAACTTTTAAATTTAGTGGAGATCAAGTTTTATACCCAACTTAACAGTGTGTTATTTGTTATTGTCGTGTATTTTTTACTGGCCATGTAAAATGATGTTCTCTGAGTTTACACGTACACACGGGATTACGTAAAATTCAACTTTAATATCCACTTAATCCAAAGTACTTTTCCTCAACTATTGTGACCTTTTAAAATATATTTAAACTATGTTAGTAATACATAAATAGTGGGCAAATTTATTTCTGCAAATCAGACTATGGAAATTGAACAGCATTGAAAATAACCTATAAAGTACTAACAAAAAAAGTTAAGGACAATATACATAACTATTTCTAATTATAATTATTTTGGGTAAATGCAAAGTTAACTGCCTTCAAATAGGCATACTTTTTGACATGTGAAATTGAGATTCCATAGGTTGTTGCTTCATGGTAAATTCAATATAAATAGCAATGAAGGAACCACATATGGTAAGCCTGGGCTTCAGACATTGGCTTTAGGATTCTCAGATAAATAAAGACCTTCCTTGAAGGCACACGGATGTATTAATTTTTAATTTGTTTCTTTTTGATCTCTTAATTACTGAAAAAGATTTATTGGTTAATTTTAGGAAGGCAAGTGTTTGAAAAGTTTTGCCAAATACTGTCTTCTTTAAATGAATGTATGGTAATGAAAAGTTAAGAGGAGAGCCAAATTAGATTGAATAATTGTTCAGTCATGTGGGTCAGGCTAGTTGCATAGCCTGGTTGTTAGACTGATTGCTCAAATTACATTGCCTGGGGTCCTGCACTTGGTTGGCTGTCTTCTCAGATCTTAACAAGGTTCTGGGAATTTCTTTTACTGACAAAGTTTGCTTTGTGTTTTTCCCCTCCCCCCCCCCAGGATGCTTCATCTGCAGACATTAGAAAAGCATATCGTAAGCTTTCACTAACTTTGCATCCAGACAAGAATAAAGATGAAAATGCAGAAACTCAGTTTAGACAAGTAAGTGAAATATGCTGTTATTGTATATGTATTTTTGTGATAATTTATAAATAAATGTTTATGGTAGAAACAGTAACCGACACGTAGAATATTTCCATTTAAAATGAGATTGTAGTTTAGAAATATAATGTATACGTATTTATTCAGTTTTTTACAAAATATGCTTTTACCAACATTTTTTTATATTAGAATCACTAAATTTTGGGGGGGTCATAATTGTCATAATTTTCTTGTCTAAATTACAGTTTTTGCTTTTAAAAATCACATGTTAAGATAATTATTAGTTTTGCGTCTTTCAAAAAGATTTTGGTATCAAGCCTTTTTTAACCTCTTAAGGTGCTACCAACACCGTAAAATGTTACTTATAATTAAGATTTTATCTGTTCATTGTATATATGAGTGCATGGGGTTTTTGCATGTGAATTATAGTGTGTTCGTCTCCCTAAGTGATTTCCCTTAGTTGAGATTATTTTTAAAGTAATGCTTTTGTTTTAGTTGGTGGCCATTTATGAAGTTTTAAAGGATGATGAACGAAGGCAGAGGTGAGTGTTCATCTGCTTTTGAATTAAGATGTTATACTTTGATGTCTCAGTTTATAAAGGAGAGAATTGTCTCGTTAAACATTTTATTATGTTAGTATTTTATTTTCGTTCCTTTCAAGATGTGCATTGTTTTTAAAATGTATGTTTATAGGAGAGTTAATTTCTATTGAAAATATTCACTAGGTTGATTCAGTACTTATAGACTTCAGGATCATGGCTTCATTAGCTAATATTTTTAACGTGAGTATCTATGCTCTGGGAAATAAAATTCTACTTGACTTCAAACAAATACCTCTTCATTTTTGATATATCAGTAATTGCTCCTATCTGCGCTTGGGGGGCTTTTTCCCCCCTCTATTTCTTAAATGTTTTGCAATTAGGCGATTAGTGATATTCAAGTTATTACCATTTCTTGGTGTTTCCTCATCCTCAAAATAATAAACCCCATTTGTGAATGAGAGAACAGACTTGTATAAATCTGAAGAAGATAGGAGTAGAAGAAAAATATTTGCTTCTTTCTCCTATTTCTTTTGCCTCCATCCCTTCCCTTCCTCTGCTCCAGTGATTCTGTGTTTAGGGTCGAACGTCAGAGAAGAGGCAGCCACCTCACTTTGAGACTTCTCTGGGCCTCTTTCAGCAGAGTAGTAATGTATTTATACAGTGGTTTATATGCTAGTGACTTAAGAGGAGATTGCAGAGAGACCCCCTTACTCTGCTCTTCCGAATGTTTGGAAGGTAGACACTACCGTGACCGGTTTCAGAGTTTTTTAAAGTCAGACCCACGGTAAGAAATACATTTTGCATCATGCCTCAGGACACACACACAGACACACACACACAGACACAACTGAAACAAAAATTTGACAAAACACTTATTGTGTGTGAAACAGACTGATGTTTTCTATTCTAGGCTAGTCTAGACCAGTCTTCTTTCTTTTTAAAAACAATGCTGATTGTGGTCCACTAAGTTGGTTTCAGGAGATATTAGTGAGCTACAATCTGTAGTTTGAAAACAGTGCTTTACAGTAAGAGTACCTTTAAAGAAAAAAGTAGGTATTTGAGATTTTAGGCTAACGCCAGCCTAAATATCTGTATCTCTCTATGGAGGCTAATATATCTTAAAGACAATCCAAAACAGTATGCAATGTGACCTTCTGAATCTTTCTTCAGATGTATTACCTGGAATTATTCTGTATCCTACAATGTCAGCTGCCACTCTTGGTTCTCATCTTAACTCTTTAATTTGAATACCTCAGTTTGTCAGATGGCAAAGCAAGGACTCAGTATATTCTCTTGACGAGTTCTTTGCTTTATAATAAGGGGCTGGCATTGGTCCAGATACCATAGCAGACATTCCTCTGGTTTGAGATAATCCATAGTGTTGAAAGAGTCCTACGAGTGTGTTGAAAGCAGTGTTGGTCATTCTGTGCATATTTTCTAGTTGGTTTCTCTCACTGAGCCCCTAGTTTTGTTTCACACATCAAGAACGTGTCTGTAAAGATAGCTTTATTTAGTCTCTCTACATCTTTGGCATCAGATTTTGCCTTTTTGTTTGTTGTTATTTTAAAAGTCAGTAAACTTTGTAACAATTTCTTCCAATTACCGAAATTATTTATATCTTTTCAGAACAAATCACTTCTCATGTAAAAATTGTTTCTTCATTAACATAGACTCACCTAACATTTTCTTTTTAGGATTAGTTTCCTTTGCATTTATTGTAGAGTGTTAGTAGAAAAAAATGGATCTGACAGTTACACAAACAGCTGTAGTATTTATACCCCTTGAGGCACAAGTAACTCTTTGGTAACTGGTTTTCCTTGAGGCAAAAGTCTTAGCTAATCAAGCTGAGAATCATTCCTCTAAAGCTTGCGCCTGAGGCCGGGTGACCTATGAGTATTTAAACATATAGGAGAAATGCACCTCTACAGACAATTATCTAATGTTTATAATTCCTTTAGAAAAAAAAGACCCATAGTTTTATCTTCTGAAAGAAGATTGTCTTATACCGATATTTAAAAATGCTCTTTGTTATCACAATTATTTATTATAAATATTCATTAAATAAGTAGTGTGTAACTTCCAGGAATTTGTAATTTGGAAAATTGTCATAGACATTTTTATCTATTTATTTCCCTTACAAATAATTGTATTTTCACTGAAATCAGGTGCATTTAAAAAATTTTGATAGAAAAGAGAATAGCATTGAAATAGATAAAATAACAAACTGGGTAACCTTTTTTTTTTTTTTTTTAAGGAATAGGCAAATTTTATTTTTTTAAACAGCCTTATTTAGGTATAATTTGCATACCATAAAAGTTACCTATTTTAAGTGTACAATTCCATGATTTTTAGTAAAAATACCTATTTTAAGTGTACAATTCCATGTTTTTTAGTAAAGTTACAGAGTCGTGCAATCCACAACCAGTGTTAGACCATTTCTGTCACCTCAGAACATTCCCTCAAGTCCATTTGCAGGCATTTCCCATTCTGATCCCAGCCCCAGGCAATCACTGATCTCCTTTATGTGTCTATAAATGTGGTTTTTTCTGGACACTTCATATTAATGAAATCATCTAATATGTAGTCTTTTGCATCTGACTTCTTTCTATTATCAAAATGTTTTTGAGGTACATCCATATTGTAGCATATACCAGTAGTTCATTCTTTTTTATTGCTGAATAGTATTCCACGTTCCACTTTTGTTTATCCATTCACCAACTGATAGACATTGAGGTCGTCTCCACTTTTTGGCTATGATGAACAACGCTGCTGTGAATTATCACACACAAGTCTGTGTGAATGGATATTTTTCATTTCTCTTGGGTAGATTCCTAGAAGTATAATTGTGAATAAACTTTTAAGCTTTTTTTCCCTCCCAAAGGCATAGACTATAGCATGAAAAAAAGTTTTCCTGGTTCTTGTAAGGGAGATTAATATAAGAGTCTTCTGAACTCCTTAGGTAACTTGCTTATTTTAGGAAATAGCAGCTCAGCTACGTTCTGACATAAATTTCTATCCAAGTGCCCTGAGTGTTAGCTGGAATGAAGTACTGAGTAGATCCTAATCACTACATATATACACTAGATTGTGCTTTAGTAATACTAGTATATTTACTTTTGTTTAAAATCTATTTTAAAATTTTACCAGTATTCTTTTGCTAATCCTCTTGTGCAACTTAAAATTTTTTTGTCTATTTTATGGTACTATATTTGTAAAAGTTCAGTGTATTTTTTTAGTTTACTAAGTAAAGTCACATTTTATATACAAATCCAATGGAAAGTATAGTTTTCTCAGCTTTAATCTATGAAACTTTTACAAATCCATTACCTCCTTATTGTAAATTTGATTACAGGTGTGTTTGAATAAAAATAAACATTAACCTGAGAATAAGAAATCTATCTTAGTACCTTCCCTAATTAGGAGATATTATAAGACACATATTATATACAATATATAAAGTGCTGTGTACCACAATTTTTGGCACATATGTACATTTTATAAAGGAGAATAAGATCAATTAATTTAAGCTTGTTTCCTGTTTATGATCTTTGTACAATTAATTTTTATTCTTAAGTTTCAGTATGTGACCTAAGTAGATGTTGTTACTCTTTTAAGCTAAAAATTCTAACCTTTTACAATGGGAGATTCACAATTCAGGCAAATGCTAGAATTATTTCAATATTCATTTTCATAATATACATGTTTTCTATTTTAATTTCATAGTTACTATTTTATTCTTCAAAGCATGCTAATAATATTTTTAATTTACATACTTTTTTTTCTTCTGGTAATTTAAACATTTTTAGATTTACTTTCCAGTGTTTGTATTAGGCTAAATATATTTGATGAATTGCAGACTATAGAATGGAACTCACATAATTATGTAACCATTATTATGTTCATCATGGGCATTTTAAGAAAATCAAATGATGTAAACATGTATTAGGCCATAGGTAGAATTGATGAATGTTTTCATTTCTAATTAATAGCTCCATATGATTTTTTATATTAGTGATATTTTTATCATAGAAATTTACTTTTGTATTTTCTTGTAATATTCATACATGTGTACATTCTTAATCTGATTTTAACAAATTGTTAAGAGCAGTTTGTATGAGCTTAATTATTTTAACAGTGTTATGTGTTAAATATAGAAAAGGCATAACAGTGATGTTTTAAATTTTATATGTTGTCAACACAACATTTTTTTCTTAAATAACTTATGAATATAATGTCTGTGTATATTTTAAGAAATACCTTTATTTTTTCAGTGTTTCAGGAAAGCAGTGATTTATCTTTTAACAGCATATATTCTAAAAAGTGAACTATAATAGAAGCTATCTTCCCTTAAAATGGCCAGTCGTGTGAGCCATAATGTTCATTGATAGTAAAATCAATAGAGCATTGATTCTAAGCTTAATCCTTGGAGACTGTTGTTTAGAGTGGCAGACGTAGCCTAGTAAATATCTAGTTTTGTTTAATGTGTTCAGTGCATAAGGTTTTGCTATCTTGAATTTAGCTGTGCACTAACAATTTATATGTGAGGTAGAAAATAGTAGCTATTAACAGACACATAGCATTTCAAAGATGATGGTGATAAAATATTTGATACGAGATTCGCAGCTATGAGCTCAGCTGGGTTTTCTTCCAGTACAGTTTAGATCTAAAACAAATTTAACACTTAGCAATGCTCTTAGGGAATTGTCGCCACTTTCTTAGATGTTCTTTATTAATAGCCACACTTTTTACCTGAAGTTATTTCGTGGGAGAGATGAGCTGAAAATAATTATTTTAATATTCTGCCTTTTTTCCTCAACAAATCAGAAGTAGAATGTAGATTCAGAATAAATTCAGGACTTCATTCACTGGACTTCATTCAGATGTTGTAATCTTGCATTATACCACTTGAAACCTTTTTGCCAATCCATTTCTAATCTAAAATGAGTCAGTTTTTACAGAAATAGATTTAAAGATAAATTTTTTGGACAGGAATGATAACTTTTGATGAAATCGTGTTATTATGTCTTGATATTAGTGTTCAAGAATTGCTATGTAAATATCGAAAAGGAATATTTAACATCAAACTTTGGCCCAGCTACTACACAACCATATTTTAATTAGCAGATTCTTGTATACTACACAATTTGCCTGCCTTTAAGAGTTTAGTACCACTAATGTCCTTTGCTTTGAACATTGGTTATTCTGATCTGCCATTATTATTAATAATCTAAGTTGATCCTAAAAGTCACGTTTTCTAGATAGCCTGATAAAATATATTTTGAATTTATAACCAATATTTTTTGTACTGAAAAAAGAAGTTGCCTGTAATAAATCCTCTGCTTTATTTTTTTAAGCATATCTCCAAGGTATCAATTTAATAACTATCAAAGTAGCTACTGCAGTTGTTGCATTTAAATTGATTTACATGTCAAGACTGGCAGTTTAGCAGCTGCGCTATTATTCCTAGATCGGTCAATTTACTTGAGAAAAACCTACTACTGAGTTCTACTGACCTGCCTGACAATATAGGCCCTATTTCTATTCCTGTAATTAGGCCTGCGACTAACTCAGAATATTTTTAATTAAAATATTTTGGTCAATGTGTTGCACCAAATTAGGCCTTTCAGTGAAGATTTAATTCTGGAAATAGTGTGATTAGAATATTTAATGAGATGTGTTGAACTAAGATTAACAGGTTGTGTGTTTTGAACATTGTTTGTGTGTGACCATTTTGAGTTTTACAATCATAAATGTTATTCCTGATTTTTAACCTTAAAAATATATGCCTCAATAACTGTCTGACGGGTAAATTTAAATTCAGTTGAAATTTCCTTCTAAAGAAAGCAGATTTAAAATGCATCACTAGGAAAGCTGTTATTTGTTATGTTCTTCCCTTTCAGCAAAGCCAAAAAATGAGGAAATTGCCACTTAAATGTTTACAAATAAACAGTTTTATCGAGAAATTGGTTGTTTCCACATCTCCTAATTTGGGAATTTTTTATTCTCTAAAGGAATGTGACCAACATAAAATTAAAAAGTGCTCATTTTATAGGCTCTTTATGTCATTAAGAAGCTTTGATAAAATGATAAATATTTCAACCTTGAACCCTTGTAAAGGGGTGGAAATAAAAGCACTGACTAGAAAATTTATCCTGATTTTGATTCCATTAATATATAATTCATGGTAGCAAATAGAGCTCTTATCTTGATTTTCTCCCATTGAGAGCCTTCCTCTTGTTGCTGACTTTCATGGCGGGGCCCCTCTGCAGCCTGCAGTGGAGAGGTGGACTCTGGCTCCTTCAGCCTAGCTGCCATTACAGGAGTCACATCACTGGGGTTTAAACACACAGGGTCTGGGATCCACAGCAGATCACTGTGTGCCTTTTTGAAGGCTGTCTGTGATTGGATACAATGTTTTGATTTATAGGCCATTGTAATGCTGATAATCTATATAAATGTTATCTCTTCTGGAGAAATTCTTTTCTCTTTCCTCTTTTTACATATAAGTACAAATAAAGTTTTTTGTTTTTATTTTAAACTCCCTATGAAAAACTGTTATATTTGCTGCTGTAGGTATGATGATATTCTGATCAATGGACTTCCAGATTGGCGACAGCCTGTATTCTACTACAGGCGGGTGAGAAAAATGAGCAATGCTGAGCTGGCATTACTTTTGTTCATAATTCTCACAGTGGGTCATTATGCTGTGGTTTGGTCAATCTACCTGGAAAAACAACTGGTAAGTACTGGTAATAAATCAAATGATCTAGCCTCCTTAATTTTATATGGAATTTCAGACGTTTATTTTTTCAACTGATAAAAATTTCAACTTTTCTGTATATGCTCCTTATTCTAATATTTTTTGTACTCAGCATTTAGTATTTGATATGTTTCTATTTCAAGAATCCATGACATAAGAAGAAAATGTTTCTTTTTAAAAATGTGGCATTTGAGTTTGTTACAAAATTTTGTGAAGGCTCAAATATCTAGCTGAAAATTAGAAGGTAGAGCTATGTTTTGTTAATTGTCACCTTCCAGATACACATATTTTTTATGTAAAATGATTTTAGAAATTTTTGTGTCACAGGCCCTTACATAAAGAATGATTATTTTAAAAGCTTTTAACTCAGTAAAACTTGAAATGAGTATAAGTTTATAATTTCAGAGATCAGTTGGTTAAAAAATATTACATTTTTCTTAGCCTAATATACTACTACATAGTTTATTCTGCTATAGGCTTTTATTTATATGCTAAAGATAAACATATTTATCAGTATTCATGAATTAGCATCTGTTTACTCATTCTTTTTGAAGTGACATTATTAAAGTTGGATGAATGAGAAAAAGTAAGTTGAATGCCTTCTCTTCTTAGAAAACTTTGATTGCTATGGAGATACACATGACTGACAGTGCTGAACTTCATGTGTGTTTAAGGACTGGTTACCATGGCAACAGTTATTGTTAAAGATTGATGATTTTACTTAATCATGTTGGACCCTACATACATTTGCATAAATGTTCTTCTATAATGTTTACCCTTCACAGAAGACTCTTGATAACATTTGAAGAGTACATGTTAATGATAACCTGTAACCATAATTTTTTCCACATTAAGGATGAACTGCTTAGTAGAAAAAAGAGAGAAAAGAAAAAAAAGACAGGCGGCAAGACTGTGGATGTATCAAAACTTGGTGCTTCAGAAAAAAATGAAAGGTGGGAGCATATAAAAACATTTTATAATTCAAAATTGTTTTAAAATATGTCTTTAATGTGATTCAACTTCATATGTATATCCATTTCAGATATGCTAACATTTACATCTGTATTCAGTTTATAAAAGACTAATACTGTGCCATAGTTTATGAAACACATTCTAATCTTAAGCAAAAGTTCTACAGGTTTTTTCCTTTGTAAAGTGTTCATATATATTTACATAATTAAACCCCTGAATTCTTGTTATTTGAAAATTTTATACTGAACTTTAGAAACGAAGTATTACTAGAAGAGTCTATCACTGTAGTGTTTAGCTCAGGAGTGACAGTATGTAGAGAGACAGTGATATGCAGCAACACTCAAAGAGATACTACCATTTCTTCTATTGATTCATAGGAAGAAATAAAGGGTTTAAATAGTTCACACAGCAGGGCAGGAACTGGATCAATGTGAGATGGAGATCAGAGACTATTCTGCCTGTCTTCTGTTCTGATGACATCAGTGAGTAATGCTTCAGTGAACTGCAAATGACATTAATTTTTATGTATTGGTTTGTTTATGCTACAGTCTTCATATCTGCTTGTCAGCACTTGGGGACACTCTGATGATGTTTAGTCTTTTACCGCTGAAGTAATCATAAGGTCTAAGAATTCATTTTGCCAAACTGATGAAAAGTCCAGTTAGAAACAGGGCTTTTGTTTCTTTATCTTTATAACTTGATTACAAGTCCCCTTCCCCAAAATCTTAACCTAGATTCTCTTACTTATTATACATAATTGCATTTGTTGTACTAATATATTTTATGATAGAATACTTCAGATTAAGTGATAACTGTCATAAATATTTCATTGAAAAACTTCTTCCTTTGTTGAAATAGCCATTCAAAACAGAATTCATGATTATTATAAAAATATTTTTGTCTGTCAACTTTCTTTCTATATTTTGCTTCTTTATTTTTGCTTTTTGTTTTCCCTTTAGATTACTGGTGAAACCACAATGGCATGATTTGCTCCCCTGCAAGCTGGGAATTTGGTTTTGCCTTACACTAAAAGCATTGCCTCATCTAATCCAGGTAAAATGTACCTCTTTCTTATAATATTAGATGCTTTCACTTTAATTATTCATGAAATAATTTATGCCTGCTATCTGAATGCTGAATATACAGTAGATGCTTCCTAATGCTGATTGAATGAATAGTATAAGTATAAACGTAATTTAGAATAGTTCTAAAATTTATTTAGGTATCTATTCCTATAACTATCTCTTTTTTTTCCCTATAACTATCTCTTACACTGCTTTTATAACACCTTAGAATTCCAAGACACTAAAAAAAAGGAAAAAGCAATACTATCTTTTTTTTTTAACATCTTTATTGGAGTATAATTGCTTTACAATGTTGTGTTAGTTTCTGCTGTATAACAAAGTGAATCAGCTATATGTATACATATATCCCCATATCTCCTCCCTCTTGCATCTCTCACCCTCCCTATCACAGCCCTCTAGGTGGTCACAAAGCATCGAGCTGATCTCCCCGTGGGATGCAGCTGCTTCCCACTAGTTACGTATTTTACATTTCATAGTGTATATATGTCAATGCTACTCTCTCACTTCGTCCCAGCTTACCCTTCCGCCTCCCCGTGTCCTCAAGTCCATTCTATACGTCTGCATGTTTATTCCTGTCCTGTCCCTAGGTTCATCAGAACCTTTTTTTTTTTTTAGATTCCATATATATGTGTTAGCATATGGTATTTATTTTTCTCTTTCTGACTTACTTCACTCTGTATGAGAGACTCTAGATCCATCCACCTCACTACAAATAACTCAATTTCATTTCTCTTTATGGCTGAGTAATATTCCATTGTATATATGTGTCACATCTTCTTTCTGATAAATTATTTTTTTTTTTATGGTTTTCAGTTTTATAATTTTTACTTCTTTTTTTTTTTTGCGGTACATGGGCCTCTCACTGTTGTGGCCTCTCCCGTTGCGGAGCACAGGCTCCAGACACGCAGGCTCAGTGGCCATGGCTCACGGGCCTAGCCGCTCCGTGGCATGTGGTATCTTCCTGGACCGGGGCATGAGCCCGTGTCCCCTGCATCGGCAGGCGGACTCTCAACCACTGCGCCACCAGGGAAGCCCGACTTCATTTTTTTTAACATGTTTATTGGAGTATAATTGCTTTCCAATGGTGTGTTAGTTTCTGCTTTATAACAGAGTGAATCAGCTATACATATACACATATCCTCATATCTCCTCCCTCTTGTGTCTCCCTCCCACCCCCCCATCCCACCCCTCTAGGTGGTCACAAAGCACCGAGCTCATCTCCCTGTGCTACGTGGCTGCAGCAATACTATCTTTAGGACAGATATAAAAGCAATAAAAATTTAATCATTTAAGGCATATCCAGTAAAAAAGAACAAAGCTCAAATAGTTTGTCACCATATTTTAATAGCATTTAAGTACATAGTGTGAAAAAAAAACACTTTACGTAAGCATTGGTATAATTAAGCAAAAATATATATAGCTTTCCATTTTATTTGCAACTTTAAGAGGAGTCAAGATATTTTGTCTTAAACTGGTAATCAAAGTTTCTGTTGCTAGTCAGTCTTCCTCAAACAATGGGATGTACATATCATATTGATGTGGCAATTTCTTATTTTTTTATATTTAGCATACCAACACATATTCTATTATTTCTTTGCTAATTTTAATTGTTGCATCTGGTTAGAAAATTTCCAACACATAAACAGAATATTTGAAAGAATATATAATTGTTTTGGTGTACAAATTTTGAGATTCTTTGAAGTTGTAATTTTGGAGGAAATGTCTCATTTCAGAAAATACAAAGAGCAAGAGAGACAGATAATTTGTTTAATTCTACTCACTTTTTTTCATGAAACAGCTGTTTTTCCTAATTGTTTAAGGAAGTGAATGACTCCAACTTCTGTACTTTATTCCTCTTTTTCCTCTAATAATGAAAATTTTATATTTGAAGGGAAAATGAACTAAAAATTACTAGTGTGTTTCTTTCTAGCCTTTGAGAAATTATTTACCAGTTCTTTTGTCAAAATTGTTTATCTTAGTAGTTATTGCTTACAGAATCATATATTTTGTTAAGAGAGACAATTGAAGTATTTTGGTAATTTAAAAGCTTTTGTTTTTAAGTTGTTTAAGTTTTATGTTGTTTATTTGAACAAAAATCCACAATCCTCATATGCTACGTATGTAAGAGTTAATAAGAGAGAGGGGAAAGTATATTTATCATACTGGTATATTTATGAGAAGATGTGACAGAAAAATATTTTAGGACATGATTTCTTATATTTTTTAAAGAATGATTATTTTTTGCCCGCTTTAGAATCTGTGCAGTAGGCAAACCAGAATGTAGATGAATTTAAAAGTATAGTCATGAGGCAGTATAGATAAAGTATCACATAAAATGTCAGTCTGAAACACTTCTTTGTAATTTTAATCTAAGTCATTTGAAACAAAGTTTAGTTGGTAAAATTAACATATTTCTTGATTAGCGTGGAGTAATTTGCAAAAACAGAATCAATATATTAAGATGGCTTAGAATTACAAGTTATTATTTTGCCTTATCACAAATTTGTAGAAAGCTTACAAAAATAAGGAATTTTATAAAAACATTTTAGCCTCTTCAGAAACTTTCTTAAACTGTTGAATCAGTTTGAAGTTTAAAGTTTTACTCATGTTCACTAACAAAATAATGTAATATAGTAGACTCTGATACAAACTGTAATAATGAAAGTATTTTACATTGATAAACATATAGCTTATACTTTCATAAGCATCAGCAAAGCAATACTGAATAGTTGCTATTAAGATTAGATTGTCTGCTTTTTTTGGTCTGCTTTGACCTTTGTATTAATTTATCATTCATAAAATCGTGTAATATGAATACATATGCCTTATCTACAACACTGAAATTTTCATGTGACACTTCTATGAGATCTTCTTAAATAAGGTATTTATGAAATTTAGAGGAAGCCCTTTTTACCCGAAGCAGTCTGTTTTAGTAACTGGCACAGTGGTGATAGAAGAGCCCTACTCAATATAAAAAAAATGATACACATGACCTTCAACATTTTCTTCACCACTCTTGTGATACAGGGCCATTGTTTTATTTTTAAGTAGGAGTCCTTTTTCTTGCGTAAACCATACCTATCATCTTGGTTTCTTTAAGGACAGATTTCCAGTTGATTTCTCTAAAGAAGAGTTAAACCATACTCTTGTGAAGCAATGTAGTTGTGTAAGCCTTAGAGATTTGTATGATATCCGTCGCTCAGTCTTTCATCATCGGCTTATTTACATCTAGTTAACAGCATTTTTAGCAACTCTTTCATTGAGCTTTCCAAAGCATCCACTTGGTTTTCATAGAAACAACTGTCATTTTCTACTCAATTTTCATCTTTTTAATATAATATTTAATTGAATCGTATAATTACAATAACATGTATCACTGACACAAATAGGTTTAAGAGCTAATACAACCAGCTCATATAAGCATACAGTTAGTTAAATAGGTATCAGTTAAGGGAGTTTTACTTCCGTGTGTGAATCCCTTGAATTTCATGGAAAGTTCATTAAAACTGAGCTGCAGATATTCTGTGTAAGCAGGCAGCTGTTGGATAAGATGGAGTATCCAAGCTAAAAGTGGGAGATTCAGAGACTTCCAGCAAATGGCCTCACACTAGCAGAACTGGTACCCAAATTTTGTCCTTGTCATATCAACAGCTCTTCATCTTCAACTGTTTTCCTCCCACTCTTCCTCTAAATACCCATTCCTTTATTACACTCCACATGCATATATGGTTGGTTATCTAGTAAGATTTGAAAAAGTGGCAGTTCTGGTTCAGCTTGTGCTCCTGAGTTCACTGTTTATTACTTAGTATCTAAGATCCCTAAGAAAATTCCTTGTTCCCTACTTATTTTACCTAAATTCTTTTCTATCCCTCTCCCCAAAAAATTACAGATGAGAATAGTTATATCATAGTTATTTGATGTATAAAACTTCTTCTGGTTATATTTTTAGAAAAACAGTTTAGCAGGTTCAATAAAAATTTATTAAACACAATATCAGAACAAGAGGCTATAGAGATGAATATGCTTTCTTGGACCTTACAGTCAGGTAGAGGTTATATCACATGAATTAAAATAATTGGGACACAATATGGTATGTAAGCTTCATATATGTAGTATAAACAATGACTTCTGTAGATGTTCAGAGAAGTAAGATTGTCTCTATTTAGGATAACCAAGGAAAACTGAAAAGAGGAGCCACTTGAATTGAGTCTTGAAAGATGAATAGACACTTGACAGTGAAGTACCCACTCTGTGTACTAGTTTGTGTACAAAAATAATTTGATAGATACAGTAACTCCCATATAATCATATGTGTTAGGACTGGAAGAAACCTGAGGAAAACATTGTACAACTGCTTTTTAAAAAAAAAAAAAAAAAAAGAAAATTCCACATAGCCCATTGCTATCATCTAAGACTATATCCCAGGTTTCCAGACTCTGAATATAGCCATTTAGGAATTTATACCCTAATAGATAAATCTCACAAATCTATTAAAGGACATTGAGACAGAAGAGTGTTTCCATCGCACATGTCTGTCAAAGATATATATACATTGTTAGGAATGGGAAAGTTAAAGTACATAGTGGGCAGAAAATACTCAAAGTGGTTCTGTGATCAAGCAGGGCAGAGGTAGAAGTATTTCTTTGATAGCTCCCCTTGCTTTTTGAGAAGGTCTTTATTACCTCCAGCACTGGGTTTTGTTCCTTTCCTTTGTTCTGAAAAATATATTGAAAGAATTATAAGATTTGGTAGATTAGAAGAATGAGGCCAGTAACTGGAAACGATTATACTTGATATGTGTAAAATATTCGATGTTAAGTTAATAACAAACATTTCCTAGATTGGAAAATATTGAAGGGAAAGATGTATGGATATTACTCTATTTAGCAAAGTGTATATCCCTATATCATTCATGTACCCACATAGGCAGAGAAGAAAAAAGTCAAATGAGAAACCATAGAAGAAGAA